AGGGTGAGAAGGTGGCCTCATTGATCTGTTGTGTCTGTCTACATACATTAATCCTGATTCCGACAGGTCTCTGTTGAGTGAGCATGTCTGATTATACATCAGTCTCTGTCAGATTTCCATCTCATCTGACAGACAGAATCACCTCTGGACCGATAAATTCATCGCCCTCAATTTAGCCATGGAGGTGAAAACTGAGGCAACCCACGCTCCTATTATTTTAAACTCGCCATTAATAGCTTTTTAATTAATGTTTTAAATAGCCCAAGAAAGTGTTGGAATGATTGTAGGTTCCTCAACTCACCTTCAAATGTAATTAACACTGAACAGTCATTTCTTTATTAAAACATTGTATGTACAACGTTTTTACAGCATATACTCCTACTTTCCATGGCCACCAAAATCACCTACTGTAACAGACAGACACCTTTGTGCTATAAGTTACAGTGTGGTTTTGTCATTGAAGCTGAATCAATCTCTGGCTTCCATTTTGCTCTAACCTGTTAAGTTCTCTTCCATATCGCCTACCCCATGAAGGTTTGGATCTAATTATCACAGTCAAAGTACAAATAAGTGATGTGGAACACCAACAGTTAAGTGTCGCCATAGTCATTATTTTTAAGATGTATTTAACTTCCCACACCACAAATTATATTATTCATTTTCTCCAAGATCTTTGAGAGAACAATATAATATTGAGTTTAGAAACCCTACAAGCGCTCTTACCCTGTGGTTGTTATTGCTGTTAAAAAAGTAGCTCAGCATGCCCAGCATTTGCATGCCAGTAATATTAACTGGTTCTTATACTTTGTCTTTTTTTGCCTGCTGATCTGTACAGAAATTGCGGCTATGGAAGGAATAGAGAACAGATCTGCAGTACATGCCAACATTTCATTATAGCTGTAACTTGATCATTTTATTGCAAGACTCATGAATTTAATAAATGTAGCCCTGATACCATTGTTCATAATTGGCAGTTGTCTGCAATGCACTGGGCGGAGTGATTCCTCAATGACTGATTGCTCTGGCAGGAAGAAACTTTCATGTGGGAATAGATTTCTACTCTTGTTCAGAAGCTGAGGGATGTTCAGCTCAGTTGTCATCCATGAATTAAAATTCAAAGTGTGCTTCCCTTAATCACCATGTCACCCTTAAGTGTAGTGTGGTTACAATAACTAAGTTTACATAGGTGGTGTCCATCAACAGTGAATTACTGTGATTGATAGAAGAAATAAAAGCCTGATCATTTATTTTACACTTCTTGAGAAAAATGGTCGTTGCCAGATTGTTTCCTGGCCCTGGCGCTCTGCTATAACAACGTTTAATGGAGCGTGGAGAAAGGCCCGGACACTGCTAATGACAGATTTACTTTTTTTTTCAACTGCATCCCCTTTCCAACACTGCTCAAAAACAAACAACCCATTAGAGAGCCTCGAAATATTTATAAATCGGTCAGATAAATCAATAATGAATTTCCCCTTAGGACATCCATCAATCTTTTTCTGCAAGCATTTGTGTAATGGAGAAATTGACAGTAATGCTCTGTCAGCAATGTTTAAGCTGACATAGAACAAAGTATTTTGTGCCATCAGACATCTGCTTATCATTGGCAAAATAAATGAAGAATCTAAATGCTGATGTTCATTCAAGGTACGGAGCTCTTCCCAACACCCTCAGAATATAAATATGACTGTAGAACACATGGTTGAGGATCTGCTCCGATACTATACTGATCTTATTTGTTTACCTTCAACGTAAACAAAGTCTGTGATGAACAGAAGGATGAGTACGAGAGGTCACAAAACTACAGAGCTCCAGGAATGCTAGCAACCCTGTGAGGTTGTAGGAAAAGCAGTGCTTTCAAGTAAATGTTAATGTAAGTAAACAAGCCAATACATAACAAATATTACATTTACCAGGTCCAACATCAAACTTTACCCTGATCGCATGTCAACAATTGCTAATTGGAACCAAACACATAGTACAACTACTCTATGGCTGAGGGTCATTCTTTTAGTTTTGCATGTATTTTAGTCATAAACCAACAAACGGTAGAGGAACGCTAAAGTCATGTTAAATGTATACAACTGGGACCATGTAAGTCTAGATGAACTTCCTGGTAATTGATAAGTTCCAAGAAATATTTGCTTTGACTACAGAGGTGAACCTACCAACTGTACACCAGTACAACAATACAAATCATACAGCTGTGCCAGAAGCATGTGTTACGTGCTCCCCTCCTGTTTGTCTCTCTGTCTCCCTCCTGCACAGACACACCTGGTCCGCCCCTGGCTCCGCCTCCCCCAGGTGTCCTAATTACGTTCAGCTGGGGACTTGAAAAGCAGAAGCTGGAGGAGAAGAGTTTTCTTTCCCGATCTTGACGACGGAAGACGTTGTCCGTGGACTTCCTCCTTTTACTGTTTTAGGATCTCTAGTTCCGAGTGTTTTGTGTTTTTTTGTACGCTGGAGTAACAGGTAGTTTATGTTTTCTCGCGGCTTTGTCTTTTACAGCCTTTTTTTTTCACATTTAAAAAAAAAAAAAAGTAGTAGATCACAAAACTATGCATATAACAACTGTGTCACAGAACAACAACTGAATCTTCAATGCTATAAAAGGTAGACCCTCCAGAAAAACGCGTTTACCGCATAATCAGCAAAATGGCGCAGATTTTTAAAAGGCCGCATATTTATCAAAAGGCAGCATAATCCCCGCATTTTTCCACAAAAAGTTGAGAAAAAAAAAAGTTAACTCGTCTTGACGTGAAGTAGTGATGATGATGAAGTGACGTCATCAGCTCGCGCATCACAGAAGGTAAACAACACCGTAGAGTGAACGTGTGGAACTCACACGAGAGAGAAAACACCAAGATGAAAAAATCTGATCCATCTCATTTACCGACGAACATTTCTGCTAAAGACCGGGCAAAGCAGCACCCCGATGTTTTTCACGAAAGTGGGGGGAAACTATTCTGCACCCCGTGCAACTGTGTGTTGGAGCATACAGTAAGTAAGAGAAAGTCGACGGTGACGACCCACTTTGATACATTCGAAAATGCTTTCTGCTGCGGACAAGAAAGCCAAACAACTCACGTTCACCGAGGCATCAACCTCCAAAACCCTTTCGAGGGCTACAAGAAACGAAGTGAGTAGCCTACAAGATTGAAGCTGGTCAGATAACGAACGAGTAAATGAAAACAGAATGAGCCGGAGAAGTGTGTGTGTGTGTGTGTGTGTGTGTGTGTGTGTGTGTGTGTGTGTGTGGGGGTGTGTGTGTGTGTGTGTGTGTGTGTGAGAGAGAGAGAGTGTGATTAAAATAGCCCAATTGCTTTTACAATAAATAAACATTGAATGTGTTTAATTGAATAGGAAAGGGTGAGTGGCAGGTTGTGTGTGAGAGAGAATAAATAAGACAGCCCAATATTTAAAAAAAAATCTATTATTTTTCGCAACTTTCCACATATTTCGCGAACTTCCCGCAATTTCACCCGGCAATTTCACCGCAATTTCACCGCATAAAACCCCGATGCTTTAATCGCATAATCAGATTTTAGCCGCACATAATAATGTTTGGCCGCGTTTTCTGGAGGGTCAACTGTCATTTGCATACTAGGAACACGTTTGTTCTCACAGATTCCGTTTGTTTTTGAAGATGTTAGTAGAGGAATGAGCGTGTGAAAAGGTAACTACGTTCAAATTAATTTTAAAGAGCAACTTCTCAGGTTAAAGACACCTGTGAATAAATGTAGAAAATGATGAATACACTAGATTTCAAAAAAATATACAGAAATATAACACAGTCTGACATTGGCGTCCGTTTTGTAAAAATGTTTCACTTCCGCATAAAAAGCCTCGGCACGTGACTACCGCGTGTGCGGTAACACGGGGGACACAACAAACAAATAGTGGTGCAGTGCATCGTCCCAAAAACGGAAGAAAGCTGCGGCTCGGTTCCCTCGACCAAAAGCAGAGCAATGGATTCTCCATAGGATTTTTTTTGAAAAACAGCTCGAAAAAAAGGTCAAGTGGAAAACGGACCTGTTAGGTAAATGGATCGTTTTGTTCAGTCGGATAATATCCACATGTCTACCCTACTTTATAATTTTCGAATCATAAATCTAATCGATGAGATAATAGGCGTCACTGCACCACTCTCACCGCCCTTAGAAAGTAGGCAAGCAACTGAAGCAATGCAATAGGAGGGTGGAGATTTGGAGTATTAATCAAAAAAATNAGGGGTGTCAAACTCAATCTCATCACGGGCCACATTAGCATTATGGTTGCACTCTAAGGGCCGGTTGTAACTTTTAGACTATATAAATATAATTATAAAATTTATAATTATATTTATATAGTCTAAAAGTTACAACCGGCCCTTAGAGTGCAACCATAATGCTAATGTGGCCCGTGATGAGATTGAGTTTGACACCCCTGATGTAGAGCTAATGTAAATAACTGTATATACTGCTGCTCAATATATTAACCTATAAATGTATATCAAAGTGATTTAATAATTGATTTATATTTATATGAACTAATAATTAAAATGTAACTAGTAACTAAAAGCTGCAAATAAAAGCAGTGGAGTAAAAAGTACAAAATGCACTTCTAAAATGTAGTGGAGTAGAAGTAAAGTAGCATAAACTGAGAATACTCTAATACTAGAAGTACCTAAATATTGTATTTAAGTACCATACTTGAGGAAATGTACTTAGTTACTATCCAGCACTGTTTAAATAGAGTTGAACAATCATAATACAAGTCATGTATACGTGCTGCAGTGCCACTCACTCATAAGACATTGTTACATCACATGCTGATGTAAATGAGTTTTTCTCACAGTAGGCTCAGTGCACAGATCCCCCGCACAGATATGAGGCTCACAATAAACCGCAAGGCTATCTGTGTTTGTCCAGCGCAGAAATGACACAATAATATCTCCAGGAGAAATTCAAAGAGGAAAAAAGTTCACCAGGCCCGATCCGCCTCCTCCTCCTCCTCCTTCTGGGGACGGGGAGGGTAGCAGTCAAGAAGTCAGCTCTCTGCCATTGTTCTTGTGCTGGAGGTCTGAACGCGGCACGGGGACGGCGCTGGTTGGGGAACCGGACGGCGGTCTGTCGTTATGACGGGCTCCGGTCCGAAGCTCGGGGTGCTTCTGCTCGTGGCGGTCCTGCTGCAGACTGTGGTCGTCACCATCACCGTGCTGCACTTCTCCACGGCTCTCAACTCGGTAAGGACAAAAGTGAAGGCTCGGAGTGACGAGCCGGAGACGCGCGGAGACTTTTTACGCATCGCCATGCAGTGCGCAACGAGAGTTGTTCGGCTTTTGAACGCAGCTGTAAAAACACCTTTTGCGGACTTTTAAAAATTAATGCAACGTCTATAAACTCTAGATGGTCATTTATAGTTGACAGCTTTAAAGGAGCTCGTTTGTATGCGCCCTGGTTCTGTGGCTGCGCTCCAGTGCACGTCTAATTTACGTTCCCTATTTTTTGCACAAAGCAATGCAGGCCTCATATTTTGCGTTTGCTGTAAAAATAATAACCGTTTGTACAATGCAGTGTCATGCAATGTGACACATTTATTTTCTGCATTTGAAAACAGAAAAAGGACAGGACGTATTGAGCTTGCAGAGGTGCAGCAACTTTTATGATTAGCTGTGATTATCAGGAAGGTGTTTGTGTGTGTGTGTTGGTGTGTGTGCAGGCTTGACTCACCCTGCTTGTTATGATGAGGCCAGAGTCCTTGTGTTATCTGGATTCAGTCCAGCTCCACTCTCAATCTGTGTTTACGTGAATTAATCATAAAATCATATGAGATGAAGCAGAAATACATGAGGAAATGAAACGTCAACAGATGAGGATGGACACAGGCCAAGAAATTATGTTGCCTGAGGTTCCCAGAAAACTTTATCACAGGGATTATAAATGTGTAAAAGGATGGTTTTAGGGTTGGAGATGTACATGATAGTTTTTGGAATATATCTCTCAGGCGTGTTAGAAGAGAAATTGAAAGAGACATTTGTTCTTATGGTTCCATGTTTTTCTTGACAGATGAAGGAGACGTTTGCCAGGAGCAGCGTGTCCTGCCTAATGGGCGCTGACCTGCAAAGCTTCACGGCGGTCCGGGGGGATCCTTGCTGGCAGGTCACTCAGCAGCTCCACCTGCTCATCGAGAAGGTAGGAGAAGACCAAAAAAAAAACACCCGCTGACGTCCACACTTAGAAACTCACATGACAGATATCCAAAACCGGATCATAAATCTCAGCGCTGCTTCATGCATGACTTCATCACCTTATCAGAATGACCTGTACACATCAGTATTTGTTGATCAGCACATAATGGCTCGATGATCATTGAGCCAGATGCTGAGATTTCTGGCTTTCATTTCTCAAAATTCCCCCCGGTCTGTTGTGGATCAAAACTCCCCCACCCCATAGGAGCTTGGAGACATTAGTAATCCCCCCCACACTTCATCTGAAAAGGCCTACAAAGCAAATGAAAGATAAGCGTTAATATTATCATTAGAGTATTTTCACGGGGTCTCTTATGGATCTGACTTTCAGCGCTGTTTTAAAGTATGATAAATATCCAGTACAGTAGGGTCGAGATTAACCAAACAAATAGTGCATTAGTTGTTCGACTATTCTGACAGTTGAGAATTGATTCAGTCATCAAGCAAGAATGCCAAAACTTCTCTGCTTTTCAAATGTTTTAATTCAATGCTTTTTATTTAAGAAACAACACTACAGATCTTTATTATACTTCACACAACTCTCTCTGGAGATTTTAAAGAGTTCAATCCCTTTTTCTAACACAAGAAAGCTCACTTTAATCCTATTTTCTGTAACTTTTCTGTTGCATTACCAAACATGAGCAAGATGTCTCCGCGGGTGCATCATTTGATACTCAAACGTTACTGTACAGGGTATATAAAGATATCATATTTTATACAGTGGTTTCTTCCAAGCCAATTTTTGGAAAAACTTGTTAAGAAAAGGTGAATACAGTTCCCATATATGTGACTAAGCAGGAGCTAGGTATTTTGGCTTTTTGCCTATTGCCACTGTGATGACATGAAAACAAACCAAATGTGGATTAATCCGCCGCTGAAAGTAGTCCCAGACGAATGAGAGACGGACTAACACATTGTGGTTTTCCTGAAATGTGTGTAGGATTTAGTGACTTGTATATTGAAACATATTATTGCTATATAATATGTTTAGAGCATTCCTGTGCTGCTTATCTCTGAACAAAAGCAGGAGCAGAAAAATGCTGAAATGATCCAAAATCACTGTCAGCAGTGCAGACGCACAATGAGCTCCTTCATAGCTGGAGATGTGAGGTGATCCTGTGTAGTTTAATCAGCACAGGAATGTGTTCACCTGCTCCACTCTCTCACACACACACACACACACACACACACACACACACACACACACACAACATATATTTTCTTCCTTAACTTGATGCGGATTATTTGTTTTTGTTTCCTTCCCTCACTGACTTTGCTGCTCTCTTGAATAACATGCCGGGTATTTCCTGACTCAGCGACTTGATTACATTTAGCTCAGTAAAAACACGATGCTGGGACATTTTGAAACGGAACATCAGCCTTAGCTTTCAACCCAAGACGCAGAGTGAAAGCACATTCAAGGCTCTGGTGAAGTGTAACCTTGTTTTGTGTTCTTCTGTTACTACTTATTAATGTGATCCAAAGACCTGTACAAATGCATTTTGTTATTTTCAAACCAGTTTCATTGCCTTGATACCAGACCAATGGGATTTGACATGTAGTTAAACCATGATTTAAAGTCACTTCGGAGGAATGAAATCCATAATAAATGGAAGAAACCAGATGACTTATAAATATACGTTATTAGAGACAGGAGGAAGAATGTTGTTCCTATAAGTCATGGGGAACAGGAGACATTTTGATTATAGCTTTTATTTTATTTTGGTTTTAGACAGAAATATATATGAAATAAGACTATTCTCTGATTAAACCTACAGGTCTTTCTTTGTATTTCATACTGAGGTCCTGTGGAAATAGAGTCTTGCGGGCCTAAAGAAGAACAATAAAAACAGTTTGAGAACCGTTACAGTATCTATTACCCATAATTGTGGGTTCCCGCTGACTGACTGCAGGTGAAATTAGCTCACTAATGAGTTGTTTTCCTTTCCCCTCCCTCTCAGTTATTGCTGAAGCTGTTAAAATATTTTTAAAGGGGGAAATTAAACCTTTGCAACCTCTACTGGCAACCATTAGGAACCGCAACAACATAAGCTATTTATTAACATTCATATATTGGAAACAAAAAGTCTTGTCTGTCCTCCCTTCTGTAATGCTTTCCAAATGTTTAAGGTTTTTCCAATTCTCTTAACATCTCTGGAAACAAACTAAACAAAAATAGCAGGATTCGCTACAGCTTAGAAAATCGTTTTCATCAATTCGGCAGATGTTGCATCTTTTTGGAGCCAATTCGTTGGGTGAAGGAACGTAAAACAGAAGGAAGTGGGAGAGGGGTCGATTACTAACAACGAGCTGTTACCAACATAAAGCCTGCTCTGTATTCCTGATGCTAATGTCAGCCGAAGTTCAGGCTTCAAGTCAGACGAAGGGCTGCTGGGTACACATGTGGAAGGAGCTTATTGGCAGAAAACAAGTGTTACGTTTGGAGTCTTTTGTTCTATTAAATGTTTTCTCCTGTTCCCCCTGCAGTCTCTGTCTCAGCGTTACCAGAAGCAGATTTCGTCGGCAGTGAGAGGTGAGAAAAATGTAAAACACAATGACCTTTGACCTCCTGTATGTTAATCAGAGGACCTGGTATTGCTCAGCATTTTACCAGTGCAAAACAAATTCCCCACATTTCCTTGCAGAGGCAGTGTTGTTTTTGATAACTCCTGTTGTTGTTACCTGGGCACATTTTCATGTTTCTTTTTGTTTTCTTCCGCATCAGATGAAGTTTCTCGGGTGCTGCCCTCTCTTGTGATAGTAGACAGAGGTTCACCTCGGCCCAAAGTCGCAGCACATGTCACCGGAAGCTTTGTGCCCAAACTGGAGCGAGAGGGAGGAGGTGAGTCCTGCGGAAACTAATGTTGGAGTCTGAATTTAACAAAATAATGAAGGCCGTTTGATTTTAAACTAATCTCTAAAGGTATGGATCTTTGAGGAGTGATAGCCTACAGACTTTCATTAGATTTTGGGGGATTTGACAAGACTTAAGACGTAGCTATTTGCTTTAGGGCTTCATTCATATGGACAGATCTAATTGTCTTTGTAATATAAATCAGCACCAAAGTACATTTTAACTTGAGCCTTTTCAATTCAGTCTGATGCTCAACTAATGGAGGCCTGCATACTGAAAGTCAGACTGTCTGAGAAGCCCTAATAAAATGCTGCTTTTCTAAGAAATACAGGAAAAAGATTAGGTGACACAACAAACTTCTTACAAATGATATTTTAGACATCGGGTTATATCACAAATTTGACTTAGAGATGTAATATTTGCTTAGGGTTTCTGAATGTTGGCTTGCAAGGGGAATTCTTTCATTGCTTTTCAGTAATTTACTCAATTGTGACTCACTCTCATAACTGAGGACAAGAGCTGAAAAAATGGGCTATGGCTAAGCAACACATCGCATTGGTTTCACTTGATGAATACAAAAAATCTCTTTATGTATCGCCCCTATCATATTAATGAGTAAAATATAAATACATTTTGGGACATTCTTATTCCCATTTTCGCTTGTACATTTATTCTAAACATATTTTTATTTTGTACCTCCACAGCTCCAGTGTCGGCTGGGCGCCGGGTTCAGGGCCAGAAGATCTCCTGGTGGGAGGGGCAGAAGGGGCTGGCCTTCCTCCAGGACGTCCAGCTGGTGGACGGGGAGCTGGTGGTCCCGACGCCCGGCCTCTACTACGTCTACGCCCAGACCTACTTCAGACACACCCACTCCCTGGAGGAGGAGGGCGAGGACGAAGAGGAGGCCCAGGACAGAGGGAGACCCCTGCTGCAGTACGTCTATAAAAAGGTGAGGAGGGGGTCATCGTGTTTTATAGTCTCGCATGATGTTGAGTGATTCTGCAGCTTATCCCTCAAATGTTTTTATCATTTGGCTTTACCTTCATTTGACCCTTGTGGATTTTCTGACTCGCAAGTCATTTTAATTTAAAATCTAACCTGCCCTTTCCCTCGTGTAGATGCGTCACATAGTTATTCTGCAAATTCCTTCATCACACTTTGTTTAGCCTTTATTCGACCTGACAGTAGAGACACAGACATGCAACACAAGGAGAGGCAGGGAAGGGGTTGAATGATGCAACAAAGGGCTCTGGTACAGAATTTAATCAGACTTGTTTTAAATGTAATGCAAGTTGCCGTGCACATTTAGAACTTGGTTCTTTTAAATTAGTTTTTGTGACTGAACACGGCAGACTGATGATTCAGATATTTTGACAAATGACTAATGAACCCAGTCATTGAAAGCATCTGTTGTCTCACCACGTGGCAAACAGCCAAAAACAACCTCTTTCTGCTTTGTCATGAGAAAACACAGGCTCTATTTAAAGCTGTTTATTTAAAGTAAATAGTTTATAATCACAATGATAAACAGTTATTGTGAAGTTTCCCAATGATGTAATACACTTATGATCCAGCCCAAAAGTCAGTGAGGTGAAGCCAAATGTATTTGAGTTAAGTTAGAACAATAATCTGGTTCTTTTTTCATACTTAATACGTTTTGAGGGAATTCTTGGACCGAATAAGGTTGAGGAAAAGGAAATCATTTGCCATCACTGCTTTTGTGATTGCAAAACTAAACGCACATGATTGAAGACGATAAGATGTGTTCATAGTTTGGAATGATGCCAACTGGCAATCAATCAGCTGATTTAGAGGTAGGGTGCACGGGGGATGCTAGTTTAATAAAAAGAAGGTCTTTTAGGTCTTATTCTCAGTATCTCACCTCACTCACCTCTCCTCCCCGTCAGATGGGCTCTTACCCAGTTCCCATCCTGCTGATGAAGACGAGCCGAACCTCCTGCTGGTCCCGGGGATCCCAGTTTTCTCTGCACTCGGCCCACCAGGGGGGGCTGTTCCCGCTCAGCACCGGCGACCGCCTGTTCGTCACGGTCACCAACGCCTCCGCGGTGGACATGGACGAGAAGAGCAGCTTCTTCGGGGCGTTTCTCATCAGCTAGACGGTCAGATCCGGGACTCTACGTTGAGCGATCTCGGTGGTAAAGCATCGGTCTGGAAGAACCTGCTGCCGCCTCTAGACCCCTCCTTAAAAGGAACACAAATGAAAAACTGCAGCAAGTAGCATGGAGAAAAGCTCTTTTGTCAGGATCCCAAATCAAAAATGTATTTGACAACACTGGTTTCACATGCGATGTGAATATCTAAGAGCTAATCGATCAACAAATATTTGTTCTTAAATGTATTGGAGTTGCTGCAGCTAGGACTCAACAGAGATTTGAGTTTCTGTTGTACAGACATTTCCTTAAGGCAGACTTCAACAATTTAAAAATTGAACTTAACGAAGTTCCATTTGGTCTAACCGGTCTCGAATAGCTTTGGTAAAACCTTAAACAAAATGTTTTTAAAAAGTTTACAGAACTTACTTAATGTACGCAGGTTAGCGTCCGTACGCAATTTTGAGCTGAACTTTCTTAACGGTGTGAACGGCTCTCAGATTTTCCACAAGAGGGAGCTGTTCTTACGGCTTTAAATGTATTTAGTGACATGCTCACATCATGCCACCTTTAGGAAAGGTGAGTTGTAGCAGTTTAGACTTTTATGCTTTAATTCAACTCGATCCATTTTATTGATTTATATCAAATGCCCTTAAAGTTGGAGTCCCTGCCTTAAAGAAATCAGCTGAATATCAGTGATGATCTGAGTTCCTGGATGTGTTTGTAAAAATATGTAAATATTGTGCAATATTTTGTGTTTTTTATTTTTCTAATAAGTTTGCAAAAATCTGGGTCTTGAGGTCTTAATGATCTCTTTCTCTCTCCTTAATGTCCCCTCAGTAAGATGTCAAACACAAGGCTTAAGCATGAACTTCTGAGACAGTTTACTGACCACGTGCTACTGCTAACATTAAAACCGTAACAGTCACATTGAAAGATTAAAGGTAGAAAATCACCACCTTTTTCTTGATGGGCTTTAAAAAGTTTTACAATGTTTTACAATGTTATAGCCTTGTAAATCAGGCTGTGTTTTGGTTGGCAGCAGCACCACAGTCTCTCTGCTGTTGGCTCTTCCATCCTAACCCCGCTCCAAATGGTGCATGTAATGCTCCCTAAATGGTCGGTTTTCTGTCATTCGGATTAGCTGCAGATGTGACCTGTAGACTTGGGAAAACAATCACGCACATCAGCATCCAAACAGCAGGAATGTGGGATGTATTGCTTTTGTGATGTATTTAACAGTTTGTAATAAATACTGCAGTAAAGCAAAAAACTAAAAGGATGTCCACAATAATGAGTTCCAATTAAGTCCTCCTTTTTTTATTTACAATGACATGAATGCAGCATTCACTGTCTGTAGCACTTGAGTCACAACAAATTACCTTTTTTTATTTCTTGTTTTCGCAAAACAATTATGGTTTTCAAGTTTTTTCCATCATCAAAAGAAATGAGAAATGTCAATATAATTTCAAAAGGTGGTTTGAAGTTGATAAGATATGGGCCTTATTGTGAGGTTATCAGCACTGTTTTTTACACCTGATGAGTGATTTAAATGCAGTCAGTACCTTAGGGTATGTTCGCCATCCATTGGATAACCTGGAAACACCAGTCAGTCTTTTTTTTAGCTTGGAACACCTGAAAAACGGGATCAGAATTAAAAACCTGTACACTCATGAGGTTGTAAACAATCAAAAACTGAATGTGAATGTAAATAAGCATGTGGTTTTGTCTGTGAATATGTGAAATAAAGACACTGTCAAAGTCCTCTGATGCCCATAGAGAAGAGCATTACCATCATCTTTTTCAAACAGATTTGTATTGTTTTATTTGAGTGAATACTAGGTTAATAGGTTTTCAGTTAACAGTATTGAAACCTTTAAAAAGCAGATGGCGAGGATTTTGTAGAGTTTATTAATTAATTTCTGAAATTCACACAACTATTACTTTGAAAATGCAACCTCATCTCACGTTGAAGGATAGAAAGCACGTGGACCTTTGCTGATTAAAGCATGCTGTAGTGAAGAATTGTGCGACTTGGTATTAAGCTTTAGGAGCCCTGCAGTTTGTCAAAATCAAGAGATCAAAGCGGCAGGGACTCAGTCAGCTAAAGCCTGGAATATTTCAAATCCGACTCCAAAGACCACTGATCGGTCTTTCATCTGGATCGCTTTCTTCCTTGATCTCTAAAAGCTTTTGTTTTAAATAAGTCCCAGTGTAGTATGTGCAGTTAATTTACCACATGAACAATACTGTAGACTTTGGAAGGATTTTTGTCACTTATTAAGGGTTTTGTTCCAAGGAACTTAAAAAGGCGAGATAATTACAAGATGTGGACAGAATCAAAACCTTCCTTGCTCAGTCTTCTTAATAAGATTTGTTGGAAGTTCGCTGATGTTTGAAAGGGAGTTCTGCCTTCTAGTAATGATTGATTATGCAACATCAGGGTATATGCAGGAATCCTGAAGTCAAATGTAATACCGTTTATAAGACCCTTTCCATACATTTTAAGACCTCATCGGCACTTCAAGTTTTAACCGGTTACATTGGCGACACACTTTACCTCACATTTACTATAGTATTGATTGTCCTTCCTCCTTATCTTCCAACCATTTGGACGCAAACTTGCATTTCCCCATAACGATGTTGTTTAACAACCGGTGTAAATGGACCTTCGCGCGCTATCAAGCAGTGAGCGCGCGATGTCCTGTTCAGAATCACACTACACACCTACGCAATGATTACATTCAGGCAGGCAGACTTTAGAATACATCCTCTTTGGACAATTTATATACATATTGAAAACAAGCTAAATGTAATACCTTGGAAAATGCCGCTTAATACTTTTTAATAGCCTTAATTTCCGCTAAATTGATTTATCAACTTGTAATACTTTTTAAGACCCCGCGGACACCCTGAACATAAAGCGTAATGCTGCCCTCTAGTGGATTGATTGCAGCTTCTCAGGAAACGGCTGTCAGGAAGCTTCAGACTACAGAAAGAGGGAAACAAATAATGACACAACACTTTTGTAAATTTTTGATTTTCTTTCTTTTCTGTGGAAATATGTTACAGTTATATTACAGGTATTTAAATGCCCGAGGGAAACAAACAACGTTCGGAGACCAACACTAAGAAGGAGACAGCAACTTAACTGAGACAGAAACAGTCCAGACTGAATCGACACGTAACCGGTGTTAAGAGATGTCCAATAAATACTGCAAATGTTAACGCAACTTATTAAACACAGAAACTGAATAACAGATGAGGAAAACAGGGTGTGCTGTCCTTCTAGTGTCCTCTGTGGTTTTTAGCAGCATGTGTGTAGCTTTCCAGAAACCCAAAACTTGCGAATAACAACGTGCAGAGCCTGCAATCAACCAGAGTTTTAAACACAAGAAGAACATGTCAGAAATACGGTGGTTTTAAGCTAAGTGAGAAAAGTGCTTAATACAAGAACACGCAAACAGGACAACTTGCATCGTCAACATATATACCAGCAAACCAGGGACAGAAGAGTTGTCCCCCACCAGCCAAAATGGTTGGTTTACTCCAAAAATCACGACTTTTTCAGTTTCATATAAGTTTTTTAAATATACAATAACATTTAAGAATAATGTTTAGATGTCTGACAGTGACTCACAGAGTATAAACATTCAACAGACGACACTGAAACTGAATTTGGCTGGTGGTGTGAACTTCATAAACTGGTACTTGCAGCAAAAGATATCAAAAATGTTATTACTGTGAACGTTTTTAACTTTAACAGTTATGTTCAGGACTTTTCTTTCATTTATAGTAGTCTACTGAATAGACAAAATACAATCTACATTTTACCCGTGTGAAAATATTCTGGTTGAATGCAGGTCTCCCCCTGCACCATCCTCCATTGGTTTTGAATGTAACTTATAAAATATTTAATAAAATGTCTTCTTAAATGGGAACTGATTCCTCCATGTACAAAAAGTTTCTTTATATAAATTACACAAGTCTCTGATGATGTCTCAGTTTCTGCTAATACAGTTCATCTCCAAACCAAAGCCTTCCCCTCACACATACACACATACACACTCACATGCTCACACACACACACTCCCAACCTAGCTACACAACATGCTCTACACATGACCCATAGTAGAGGAGAAAACGAAAACTATCCCACTGAAAGGAAATCTCTGCGCATACAGTAACGCTACATCTCCTCCTCTCTCTCTCTCTCACACTGTTTCTGTATGCAAGACCACAAGCATGGCGCAGTTTCTGGCGATGGACGGAGGACGCCTCCTCAGCCTCAGCTGGTGACCCTCACCATCGCCTGTCACTGTAGCTGCCTTCTTCACGCCCAGGTGAACGACCCCCTGCTAGCGGGGCGGGGAATGTGCGTAACCACTGCCCAGAGGAGGGCGGGACCTCAGCAGTCAAATCGCATCTCCAGTGAATCCTCAAAGGCCCTGTTGTCGTGCCCCGCCCCCGATAAGAAGCTGGCCGTGACGGGCGTCCCTGTAGCCGTGGTGACGTTGAGAAGGGTGTTGCCGGGGGAGCTGGTGGCCGGGCGGAGGGCCGCCGCGGTGATACTGGTGAGGTTGATGCCTAGCGTGAGACGAGTCTGTTCCAGAGCTTTCTCCGGCACGGCGAAGGCTTCCAGCTTCTTCTCTCCGTTGGCCATGTAAGAGTTCTGGCAGCCGCGGCAGATACAGTCCAGACATGCCTACAGAACAATGATCATAATTAACATCAGCAGTAGTTGTTTCAATCAAAAACTGCAGTTACGTAAAAGTCAAGAATGAGCTGTCAACAACAATTAAGGAATAAGGAATATTTGTTTTTGAAGCAATTGCAGTAAAGTTTGAACTTCTACAGCCCCTTGAAAAAATCAGCATAATATATCTGCTGACGTGGACCATGGGTCGGGTTAGAAGCTCCAGAACAAGCAAGTCAATAAACCTTGATTGAGCAAGTTTTGTAAAAACAAAGTCAAAAGGTTCCTGGCGCCCTTGTTTATTGACATCTATACCAGGTTTCACCACATTGAAAACAAGGCAGCTGTATCATTACATTCACAGAAAACAAGAGGTAACTTTTGTTTAATTTAAACATCTGCAATATAGTCTTCAACATGTCATAGAAAAGATAATATTTTCTCCCCCTGAATATGTAAAGCTCATGCATACTCATTTCGCATGTTTTTAAAAAATAGTTTTATGTTAGTTTAATATTTTATGTTCGTTGAATGTTGTTAAAATAAATTCAGTCATTCATGGTATCAATTTTAACTGAAACGATTGCACGTGTGTTGAGTATGTGTGGGAGTTTGCAATGAAAAGAAAATCTCTATTCGAGGTAGCTGCGGTTTTAAAAGTGTGGGAACGACTTCTACAGAGGACCCACTTCCCTAATAGGCAGAGCTCTTTGTGACTGAGTCAACAATCATTCATCCTCATGCCTGACTGCCACAGAAACTATATATCAGTTGGCTGTAATGAGCCCCTTGGTGGCAATTAAATCTGTTAATATGTATGCTGTTAGCAGTTAAGCATATCCAAACATTAGTGGTTTTAACAGGGACAGCATCGTTAGCAAAACAGCAGACTGGAGTGTGTGTGTACGTGGGGGGGTTTCAGCATCGTGCTCACCTTGCGGTTGGAGTAGCAGGGGCAACGCTGCCCTCTACAGGTCAACACTGAGGGGTTCTGTGTGGCTCGGCCGCACTTGCAGCCTTTCTTTTCCACAGGCTTTTTATACAGTGGTTTCGAGGGGCTGGGTGGGTGTGTCAGAGGGTGAGCATGGGGGTGTTGGGGTATCCTGTCACGGGTTTGTGTACGGGGCTTGGGGGTCCCTTGCCTGGCCTTGGTGTAAGCCTTCTTGGGGCCCCCGTGGTGCTCCACAGTCTTTTTCAGCGCCTTGTTGGAAACAAGCACAGTCTTGCCCACCTTGGGAGGACCACCATTCGGCACCGGGGCCAGGTGTGGGTGAGGCGTGACTGCCGGGTACTTAGGCTCTTGTTTGGTGGTGGCACCAGGGTGAGGGTGATGAGGGGAGCTGTTGGCACCGAGGGGAGGCCCCCGTAACAAGCTGGAAATGGGGAGGGGCTGCACCTTCTCGCTGTCGCTTTCTGAACGGGAGCGCTTGCGGTGGTACCGAGGGGGGACGTGGGGGGTGACAGTGGAGGGCTGGGGGGGAGGCTGCGGGTGATGTTGCAGGGGGCGAGGGCTGTTCCCTTGAGGGAGGCAAGTGATGAGGCGGGAGGAGTCAGGTGGACAGTGAGGCCCGTTGAGGCTGGACTGAGGTACTGAGGGGGGGCAGTCCAGATGGGGGAGGGGATCAGGATCAGTGTCTGTATCAAGAGTCCTGAGCACCTCCTCCACGCTCAACAACAACGGCCCCCCACTATGTTTCAGGTCATCACCAAAAGTGCTGATTTCACAGAGCCCCGCCTCCCCTTTGACGCTCACACACACAGGAATCTCCTCCGATAAGCTCTCCTGCTTTGCAGCACCCTTCTCTATGGTGACAGGCTGCAAGGAGTCCGAACTGATCAGACCGTTACAATCATGCAGCCCGTTCACACTGACGGTGCTTGGCTCCTCCACCTTGAGCTCCTCCACCTTGAGCTCCTCCAACTTGAGCTCCTTTGTAGGCGGAGCTTCATCAGGCTGAACCACGTTGGAGCTGGAGGCCGTGGGCGACAGGCTGGCTGAATCTGAAACGTCCTCGGCCTCCGGCTCGCTCTCAGCCAACGTGAGGCCCTCGTTGAGGATGGCCTGGAGGTCCGGCGAGTCGCTGGCG